CGAGCCTCACCGCCGCAGACAGGCAGGCCTTATGTCTTGGCTGCCGAGCTGGCAGCGGCCAGCGGCGGCCAGCAATATAGTGTGAGACGGTTACTGCCGACAGGCCGATCTTGTGTCTTGGCTGCCGGGGCCGCCGCTGGGGCCGCCGCGACACAAGATCGGCCTGTCGGCAGCAACCGTCTCGCCGCTATATGTATATTTTTTCGCCATTATCAGCTTTCTCCATAGAGCCTGTTAGCATAGCTTCCAAGCAATATGGCGGACGTTAAGTTTGGATTCTGGGAGTGAGTTCCCACCCACTGATCTGTGATTGGTCTGTAGCTTCAGTGGCCTAAAATATGAGGAACTAGCGTTGTAGTTTCACCCCGGTAACCGCAGCAGCTTCCTGTGACGCAAAATTACGATTTTTGTGTCACTGGAAGCTCCTTTTCAAACTCAGAAATACAAAGATTTCACATCTCAGGGGAAAATGAGGGCGGGATGCACGACCATTCAAAAATACTACCAGGTCTCTAATGATGCAAAGCTTAATGCTAATGGGTGAAGTATCCCTTTAAGGTTTCCAGTTTCTTTATAAACTACAATGAAGGTGCTGTTTTTTTTTCACCCCAAACGGTTTCATCACATTGAATTAGTGAGTAGACGCTGTGAGAAGGGGCGCTAACATAGGGTCAAGATGTGCTTGTAGGAAATCTCCTCTTTAACAACTACATCTTAAATATGACAAATCTTATCACACAATCATCTACATTATATATAAGTAATATGTATGTTTTTTTTGTTGCGTTGTGTTAGTCTAGGGTGGCTGCTTCTAGACCTTTACCTCCTCCTCCTGTTTTGAGCTCAGCTGTAGAGGGGAGGAAGAGGAGTAGACGGAGCACAGAGTGCAAGAAAGCTGGTGGAGATTCAACCTCCACATCAGTGAGTTCCTGTAAAGACGGATGTTTACCACTTCCACAGGTGAGACTGCTCCTCCACTCACATACTGCATGTAGAAACATCTTTACTAAAGAAAAAATGTATTACTGTGGTATAGTTTGTATACTCCTATATTTAAGAGTCAAGAACAATGTTATCCTTATCAATCACAGAAAATGTGGATTGATTTTATTTTAGGACCGTCCTCTATCTGCAAGAGAGAGACGAAGACTGAGGCAGTCCCAGGAGATTGCCAGCCAACAAGGTGTTTACTGTTTTTCTCTCTAAATGAAGCCACATGATTGTTTTACTGTAAATCTAAAGCTGTTGGATTCTTCACTACTTCTTCCACAGGCATCAATGTTGTTAGAAGGGCATCTTATGATGTCACTTCTACCAAGGATGAGAACTACAACCGTCCAGTTTCCAGATCTGTCTCGGACCTCACTGAGACCAAAGGAAAGGTACTGGCACCAAATGCTTTAACACCTGATCTGATCCATTTCCAGTCATTTAAGATCATCTAACACAGCATTCTGATGTGATTCATTAAAGCAGGATAAGCTGCGGGAGCAAAGGTCGGACGAAGACGAGTGCAGCTCATCCACAAGTTCCACAGAGCGCTCAGAGGGAGATAGCAGGGAAAGGTGAGAGCACACAAGACCGAAGAAAAGAAGAAAGTGCAACTTGTGTCAATCAGATATAGTAACTATATATTTGCTTTTTAATCCATGATTTGTGTGTCATCTATTAGAAAGACTGAATCCAATGACATGCAGGATTTAGTTCATATGATGACCCAAACTTTGAGAATGGAAATTGGAGACGGTGTGAGTGAGGTTGAAAAAGGCAGATTTGGCTCCACTGCACTACCAGAATTTAAACTGAACAGGAGGTACAGGGACACCCTGGTGCTTCATGGGAAGGCTCGGGAAGAAGCAGAGAACCTGTCGCTTGGCGAAATACCATTAGGTCAGATACTTTTATCAAACTGTAGTGTCATCAACTTGATACTTGAAGTGTCCTAGTGCTTAACCATCTTGTGTCTCCAAAAGGCTCCTCATCCGGTCCAGCCAAGATACGTCGAGCCATCGAGCACCTGAGGACAGACGTGGTGAAGGGCCTGGGTGTCAAGCTGCTCGACAGAGCCCTGGAAATCATGGAGGAGGAGGACGACAGCAAACGTGAAGTATGTTCACACCAAAATGACTTCTCTTGACTCAGCACAGTGTAACTAGTTTGTGTGCCAAGTTCAAATATGAGTTTGTGTTGAATCCAATCAGAATCACACCAACACTTGCAGTATGTGAAACAAGTTTACCCTCATCACGGAGATACAAAAATAACTGTTCAATACAAATAAGAAATGACTAGAGAAACATATACATTTTTTACCATCACTATGTTTCACTCACGTTGTCAATAAAGAGAAAACAAAAAGTACATATTTATGGCAGTAAATGCTGTAAAGCAAGACCACTGATACTGATTTCAATATGAATCATGGTGTGTGAAAGACAGGCAGTACTGGTGTGAGAGACGAGTGATACATGGCGCTGGCTCCCTCCTCCACTCCTGAAGTGGCATGCCACATAGCAGTTTTGATTTTGCTGTCACTCCAGAATCCAGATAAAGGTTTATGCCAAGTATGTTTACACATACAAGTGTGACAAATGTGGAATGGTGGGATGAAATTGTTCTACCTTCTAGGGTAGTAACAGAGGAGTGAAGACAGTGGCAATGTGTAACGTCAGAGCTGGGACAGCCCTGTGTTTGTGTTTAAAGCCCCCGTTATGTGTTTACACACTGTGCCACTTGTGCTTCCATAACGCTGTAAAGCAATGTGTAACCAGAGCAATAATACGCCGTTGTGGATCAAATGATGTTTCTTTCTGTCACTGCAGCTGTGCCTTCGTGACCACATGGGGGATGAAAAGTACCTCGCCTATGCTGTGATGGTGAGGCAGCTGAAATTCTTTGAGGATATTGCCGTCAAGATTTAGAAGACATGCTGCATAATCAAGAAACATTTACATTTTAATGGCACTTCTTGTTGGAAATGTGTTCACAAGGGCAAAGCTTCTTGACTGAACATAACAGAAAACCAAGTTTTTCTCCCTTGAAGTGCTAGAAGATTCATTTGTTTGGACCACCCTGCCTCTTGTGGCATGGCCACTTTTTTTTCTCCTGGTTGTATGCAAATGACCATTTATGCAGGAAGGATTGTAAATAAATGTGACTTTTTTACCTCATTGAAACTGACTAGGTAAAAACTCCTGTGATTTTCAGGAAGCCTATGCAATTTTTTTTTTAGGTTATAGCCCCCCAGCTCTTTCTCTGATGTTGGTAGTCATTTGTATATTCATAATGTGAGCCAGACTTTGTATAATAGTTTGCTGTATATTTGAAGGCACTAGATCTTGCTTCAGCTGCTGTATTGTATTCCTACACATGTAATAATGTAATGCAAGAAAGATGCATTGTAGAAATTAACATTACAGTTTTCTAATAAATCTTAAATATTTTGTTCTGTTATTTTTCATTACTAAATGAAACCAAGCACTTCACTGACAGCAACAAAAGCTGATCACTAAATAAAGGTTTCTTGCGTTATGAAATCCTCAGTATGTCATGTAGGGGAAAAAAGAATTACTGTAATAATACTCGGGAAAGATACAATTTATAAAATGCAGTATCAGGTGTTTATTTAGAGATGTCATTTTTAACTGAAAAACACAAACAATGTTTCTTCTCAAATGCATCTTATGTGGACTATGAAACTAAATTCAAAATAATTCCAATACAAAGGGATGTTATAACAGTCATGTGAGGAGTCTTTGACTTATTTGTGTTTCTTCTTCTTGAGACTTTCCTGTGGTTTTTGGATGGGCTCGGCACTGCTCTCTGGTATAACTGGCTGCCAGGACAGAGGATTCTGTCTGTACATTGGCCATGGTGGAAGGGTCAACTAAAGTGAAGGAAGAAAATGATACAATTATTAATGTTTGTTTTATTGCCCTCCATTCACAAGATAACAAAATAAATCAACAATGAGCCATCATTTATCTAATTATCCACAACACAAGTGTTTGGCCTTAATTTAGATTTTTTACATCATCAGCCACAAATAAAGGAGACAACAATAATAATAATAAAAACTTACCACACAGGATATAACAAAACCAGCCAAAACGATGTACACTGTCCACCCAAACTGTTCAATGATCAGTCCATACACGAAACCAATGGTCTGGAAGATATTATACATGATATTGGTGAACCTGACTACAGCACAACACAGGGATGTTTTGTCTCCAGTGAAATTTTGCACATGTCATAGTTACCGCTGAGATGAGTATTATCCCCTGGAAAATCTGTTCTGCCAGTTTCTGGCCTTTGTAATCCTGTAAGACAAAGGAGGAGGAGGAGGGGGTCATCATTTGTCAAGCAGGTAACACTGACAGCACAGAAATGATCAGAACCGATAAAGGTAAGTTAGGGCACACACACAAAAACAAATGAACAAGCTACTTCTGTACCTGAGTGATTTGTACAACATAACAGTATTATCTGGGGCATGTAATAAAAGAATGAAAAACGAACCTATAGTGCTGAAGTTTCAACTAAGGAAACGGCACTAAACGACATTCAGTCCAGTCACAGATGAATGTGCAAATATCAACAAAACAACGATAAGACTACATTCAATACTTTACTCTCTTAAACCGTAGAAAAGATCAGAAAACTGTTTTGGGATGGTATCGTTACGTTAGCAGCTGTTTTCTATGCACTGGCTAGCTAAAATTTAACGTATGCTCGATAGAAACCCGTGGATGCATCATTATCGTACATTAAATACAAATAAATCAGCGTATCATTTCTTACCATATGCGTGGGAATGGACTTGAACATAGACAGCATCTTCCCACTTGAAATACACAACAATAAACGGAATGAATTTAGATGAAGTAGGAGTCGTCTGACTTCCGGTTTTGAAAGGATACGTTGTGCAGTGAAAGACCCCCGGATGTTAGCTGCGCAGCTCCGCGCGTCTATAAAAGGTCAGGATGGGTTAAAGCGCTGCTTGTTGTTGAAGGATTTGGCCTGGTGTTAGCGGAAATCTTTAGTTGCCTTAATGACTTCCCGTAAATGTATCTATTCTATTTTAACCATCCCACTCTATGTGTTTACATTTTAATTCGTGGAGTAATTCATTCATTCATGTATATAACGTAGTAAAGCAGTGTTTGATTTTGATTGGTTAGAAAAGGCAAGCTAATTTAGTTTTACAATCAGGCATACGCAGGGGTACCTATCACTATGTGCAGAGCGGATAAAGTTGTTGATGTTGAGTTGGCACTTTGGCTCAAGCGTACATTACCGTGCTATTGCTTTTTTTTTTGTCCTGTTTCATTTGGAAGCTGGTTTAATTTCCTTGCTAATAATTTAATAATTATCACACACTTAAAAGCCGACGTTTTGTGGCGTTAACGCTGTTGTGTTCATGCGGTCTCCTAGCGGTGGAGCAGCAGCAAGTTGGGTTCAGCTCAGTCCATTTAGCCAGCGGATACACTAAGCTGTCTTTGAGCTTCTAACGTGCTTTTATTTGTTTTTATTTTTATTTTATTTTAACAAGGCGTACTGGGGGCACGGATGAGGCAATTACTATGACAATGAGGAAAGGTGAGTCATTTTGGTTGTAAATTTTGATTACTAGCATAATTGTGCCTTTATATTTACGTCTTGGTGATCTACTGTGTAATTGAAGACTTTATAGATAGACATGTACTACTAGTAATAGTGGATTAACACTGAGGCAACCTGGGTGCTATTTACATCTATTGTTGCACAAACAAATGTGTGGTTTTCACAGTTCCCCAAGCTGCCAGCTGTTGCCCTTTGCACCTCAGGTACTAATAATACATCTCTTTGTTGTGATTCTCAGTAAACGTGGCCATCCTTGTGCTGCTGGCTGTGGCCTTTCTAATCATAGTTCAACGTAATCTCCTCAACCTCAGTGACTTTTTACACAAGGAACACCCAGGTATTTTTCACATTTTGTGTGGGAAGGTGCTGCATATCTTTAATATTGAAGTTTTTTTTTTTTTTAAAGCAATCAATTTATCAAAGCCTGAACATGTCTAAATCCAGATGCGGGGATGATTCTTCCCTTTGAATCGGAGCTGTCTCCTGACCTCGGACTGGAACTGGTAAGAAAAGGAGAGGAGATCCCTGTTCTCATCACTGCTGCTGAGGAAAGACTTGGTTCTGTGATTGCTGCCATGAACAGCATCTATCAGAACAGTAAAGCCAATATTGTCTTCACCATAGTGACTCTTAATGACACGGTGGATCACTTGAAGTAAGTTAAAACAGGAAGCCTGTCTTGTATCCCAAATGAATACCATTATCTTGGATTTGAAATTTTAATGGAATGTATTTTTCTCTTCTGAAACTAAGATGAATTTCTGCAATTGTGTTGGATTTAGCCTGGCAAGACATGTTCTCCCTTTTTCCCCTGCAGAGTGTGGCTTAGTAAGACAAAGCTAAACAATGTCAATTATAAGATAGTTATTTTCAAGCCCGAACTTCTCAACGGAAAGATAGCTAAAGATCCTCAAACGCTGGAGGCTTCCAAACCGGTGAGCTGAATTCATGTTGTGTTTGTAAAAACGTTTGCATGCTACTCTTTCCTTATTATTGTCTCTTTCAAACTTTATTTCAATGGTCTATATTCCAGTTGACTTTTGCCAGGTTCTATCTGTCAGCATACATACCAGAGGCAGAGAAAGCTATCTATCTGGATGATGATGTCATTGTACAAGGTGAGACAACAGCATAATAAAGAGAGTCTCCTTGGGCCTAAATTTAACTGCTTTCATTCCAAAAAATTTTTTCTACACACCATGTAGCTCATTAACTCTCAAACATGTGTGCTACCTTTTTATGAGCAAAGTTAACGAATGGATTTTCCTGTTTTGTTGGATCACAGGAGACATCCAGGATCTTTTTGAAACCCCCATCAAACCCGGACATGCAGCTGCTTTTTCAGAGGATTGTGATTCAGCTTCTGCCAAGGGCATTGTTCGAGGGGCTGGCACTCAGGTGGGTAGACACAATGTAGACTGTTTCTTTGAGATTATTGTGACTTGCCTAAACTATTTATCTTTCCAATAGAATAACTACATAGGGTTCCTTGACTTCAAGAAGGAGGCTATCAAGAAGCTAGGGATGAGGGCCAATACATGCTCCTTCAACCCCGGGGTCATCATTGCCAACCTGACAGAGTGGAAGAACCAGAACATCACCCAGCAGCTGGAGCACTGGATGGAGCTAAACACAAAGTATGTCACTTACATTTGTTAAAAAAGAATACTAAATAAATTGGGGAATGTTCTTACATTAATTAAACTATGTAGTGGAATCTTTCTATCAATAGTAACCTGAAGTCATTGTTTTCCTCAGGGAGGATCTGTACAGTAAGACACTGGCAGAGAGTATTACCACCCCTCCTCTTCTAATTGTTTTCTACAAACGTCACTCCAGCATCGACCCCATGTGGCACGTCCGACACCTCGGTGAGTTTTGGTTAGATACAGATTGGAAACGAAAAGAGTTTTAGATCAAACTGATATTAAAATTGGATAACTTGAACATTTCTGGTTTCTCTGCAAGGTTTGTTTTATAGTACTCCTCCAAATAATTACACACAATGCAGGTGTGAGTTTACCCCTGTCTTAAAGGTCACATATTATCCTCCCTTTCAACCACTTTAAATAAGTCTCAGAGCTCCCCAAAACATGTCTGTGAAGTTTCTTGTTCTAAATCCACTGTGATCCTGTATTTTATCATGCCTTTAAACCCCTCTATTTCAGCCCTGCTCAGAACAGGCTGCATTTGTGCCTGTAGCTTTAAATGTAAATGAGCTGTGTGTGACCACGCCCCTCTCTGTAAGGGCTTGGGTTGCCCAGGGTGTTCTCGCTCCATGCCCTATTGTTTACGGTGAGAAGGCAGACTTGGAGGACAGAACAAACACCTAGCTGTAGGAGTGTCACCCACCTGGGGGGGGGGGTTACTGCCCTTTGTGATGTCATGAAGGGAAAATCTCCAAACGGCCTGTTTGAGTACTCATTCTCTGAAAAGTGGAGCAGGCAAAAGACGGAGAGGATGGACTTTCCTCATAATTGGAGGGATTGTAAGCAGACTAAAACACATAAGTGTTCTAGAAACATGGTAATGTGTATTTTGCATAATATATGACCTTTAAGTCAGATGTTATAGTGGTTTCCATCCTAAGTTACAGAATTTGTCTTTGACAACAAACAAGTGTTGAATTTTGCCCTTTGACACACTATTGAGGTTACTTATCTGAAGTAAAAGTATCGACTCTTTCTATATTTATTAAAAACTGCAGGTGACTTAGGAATCAGCTGCTTATCTCATTGCTTTGATTTGATCAATTTAATTTCAATATAAATTTTCATGTGGCCACTATGAGAATAATTATGAAATGGCACAACCCTTTTCCAGGTACAACAGGAGCTGGGAATCGATACTCTCCACAGTTTGTGAAAGCTGCAAAACTCCTCCACTGGAATGGACACTACAAGCCATGGGGGAGAACATCCTCTTTTTCTGATGTCTGGGACAAATGGTTTCTTCCAGACCCTACAGGGAAATTTGTCCCTGTAAGAAGACACACAGACTGATTATTTGCTTTCCTGAAGGTTTTTTTATTTTTACCAGCCAAGCCAGCCCCATCCCAGCAGGACCATACTTTGTGATATCTCAGGAACTACGGATGGCCTTTTCTCTTGCCAGCCCTGTACTTAGGTTCTTTTAATCTGTGTTCTCTCACATTCCCTTTAACACAAAGTTTGCTTTTTCACTCCATTTAGCTTAGCATTTCTTAGGAGTATACAGTTATTTTGCATTTTTTTTGCCAAAAAAGGTAGAGCCTTTCAGATTTTTGAACTGTTACTTTTTCACATTTCTGATGAACCGTTGTTTCACTGAAGAGACACAGACCGTTTCATCCGTTGGTTACGACCTTAATACACCTGTATTCTCCAATCCAACCATGCGTTATGTAGCTAGTATTACAATATGCCAGGACAACCATGTACAATTTCAGCATTTGTCTGCAGCAAGTTTATTCATATTAACTTTGTTCTGATTTACCTACATTTTCAACAAGGAGTTTTTAAGTTACCTCAGCTGTAATGGTGTAGCATAGTTGGCTCTATTTGCTGCTTCACACAATCTAATGCCAAGTAAGAACTTTCCTCATTGGCTGGGCCGAGAACATATGGTTACCTCATTTCAAAACTTCCTGTGGAATGATTAAAATACGAACATCTGTGCAACTATGAGTTATTAAAGTTCAGTCATTTATCCCGCTGCCATGGTCAAACTCTACTGCCTCACTTTAAACTGTTGTGGTTTTTAGAAACTTTTTGCCTCAACTATAGAAAACTTCGTTTTCCTGTTAGGAACTAGTCAGGAGTCTTTTAGAAATCAAAATGCTTTCACCTTGCTGGTGTAAATGTCTTTTTGTATAGAACATGAAATTAAAGTTACATTTCTATCATTTTATTTAAGTAACTGGATCTTGTGTTTCTGAAGATGAGTCATACTGAATGCATCTTTCCCAAGTTTCCATCTGGAAAGGATGTGAAAAAAAAAAAAACCAAACAGAATCTAAAAATGCTTCAACATCACTAAAAATTAAATTCTAACGTATGTGTAAATTCATACTTAAGACCAGAAGAGTAACACAACATGTCAGATTTAGTCTTAGTCAAGGTTTATTACATTTACATTTGTTTGTCATCTATTTACAGTATTCTGCATGAACATATTACAAATGACCTTTGGACATTTTAAATCCACTGTTTTTCACATATCATGAAAAAGAAGTCTGTGGATTTTGAGAACCACTGATCATATATAGTTCTTTTCCTGGGAGTACTCCTAGATAAACAGAATTCTGAATTAAAGAATATAGTCCAGGATAAAAATGTAAGTCCTGGTCTGGAACCTGTCCCTCTGTCAACCAGATTTCCATTCTGAAGAAAAGACACAAAACACCCTTGAACCACTCAACCAGGTGAGGGTGTTCAAAATGCACTCGGGTCCACATGTCCTCCAGACAAAATGAGCACACTTCAGAAACAGGCAAAGCTCATTTAAAATCTGTGTTGAAGTCGTAGGCATCGTCTGTCGTAGAGGCTGCAGAGAGGCTGATGTCGATGGGGACCGACTGGAATTGCACATGGGCTTGTTTTTCTAAAAGATAAGGAATGATGTGAAAACAAAATGAGTAAAACATTTTTCAATTAAATTAAAGGTCAATTTCAATCACAACTTACTTGGGAGTGACGTCGTCTGTGGTCGCTCTGGTGCTTCTGACTCCTCAGCAGTTTTGTCAGGCTTAAGAAAAGGAGATGTTTCAAATATTTTAAATCAACCAATCCACAAGTTAAACAGAATATTGCATTAAAAAACCAGGATCAGAGTTGGATTAGAAGTCTTCATAAACAAATCAAGACTTGAATGTTTGTCCTCATTTCCAGGAGACCAGACTAACATTACACAAAGCAGCTGTACTGTCTGGACGTCTTTCAAAGGAAAAAAAAGGGGGAGGGGGGGGGTTTACCTCATCATTCTGCTTTTCTCCCTCTGTGGCGACGGTGCCAGCTTTGTCTTCAGAGACGTCACCGACACTCAGCAGCCCTGCAGTCGGACCTTTAGAGGTGAAACTTATACTGCTGGCCTGGTTTGGAAATTTGACACCTAAAAAAATAAAATGAAAATGTTTTTTAAGCAAACAGACAGATCTGACTTCATGCTCTCGCACAGCGACAAGATGGGAATCTACATGCCCAAGTGAGACAGTAATGCTGACCGGCTCAAAGTGATAGTTATTTCAGAGCACCCAACTCAAAAGATTGTGCAAAGTAGTATTGTCACGATACCATAATTCTTTACTTCAAACTGAAGTTTAATTTTTTTTATATCCATACCTGTTTTGACAAACAAGAATTTAAGTCCTAGAAACCCAAAATAGGCTGCAGGTAGGATAGGCATGGCTACATGAACACAATACAGCTCCTCGCTGCGTGTTTTATACTGTTTTTTGGAGCGCAAGCACTGTAAAACAATCTGGAAATAATGTATTGTTTCCATTCATTGTTTTCCTTAGTGACACTTATCACTTCCTTTCAATGTCTCTCAACCACTGATGCTCTCTTGCCCAAGGTAGTTTGAGACTAAAGTATGATTAAGTCTGTTGTTCGTTTAAAGCTTCTGTAACGTTTGATAATATCCAACATTGAAATAACGGAAATTGTATTGCCTAAAAATAAATAAATTTACCTTTAAGAGTTTCCTCATTGCCTGTTTTCAGATAGTCCAGGTCCCAGCCACTCTTCATCTCAGCAGCCACAGCTTCAGACATGTATGCAGGGAGGCTGTGCTTCTCTTGTGGCTTACAGTGGTAGCTCAGCTTGGCCCTGAGAAGACATGAAACCAGAGACACATGTCTATTAGATCAAGAGATCTCCCATCGATCTACATATGTGCAGTCAATCCAGCACAGTGTTGGGATCAGAGTTGGATTAGAAGTCTTCATGATGAAATCAAGAATTGCGTTTTTGTCCTCATTTCCACACTGCCAGATGACAGCTGGCCACTTTCCCTTAGGACGTCACACAAACTCACCCGGTCAATTCAGTTAGGAAAGCTGTGGCCGCCTGCTCTGTGTTAGGAATTCCACCCTTCTGCAGATATCCACGTTTCTTGGCAAACAGGGTCAGAAACTCCAGTGAGTTTCTGAAGTCAGGGACATTGTACTGAAGCATGATCTAAAATAATTAAATCGCAAGAGAACAGTTAGATTTGTCAGACTAAATCCTATAGCACTTCACATATCTTTCCTGTAATGTAATTCCTACCTGGTGCTTGTCACACTGCTTGAGCAGAGTCCTGACTGCCTCCAGAACACTCTCCTGACCCTCCTCCACCTGCAGGCTCCTCAGAGCCATACAGGCTGGGGGGTTGGACGGTGATGCCAAGACTCCTGGGCTGTCAACTAGCTTCACATTCTTTAAGATGTGCACCTCCTGCATAGATCTGTTGGGATGGTGAAAGGTAAAGTTGACTGTCAGAGCAAGCTTAAAATAGAAGGGCCTGAAATAGAAGGTAGAAAATGATATCAATTTGTTTTTAACTTGGGTTTTATGCTCACTTTGTGATGCCTCTCTGTTCTCCAGCATTACACGCAAGGACACCCTTCATGGTGTTGATGAGACTGCTCTTCCCGACATTAGGAAAACCTGAGAGTTAAAGGCATTAAAGATCAAAAGTCAGACTTTGATCTGAAAATATAACTTCAAAAGGTAATCACTCTTCAGAAAGAAAAAGCTGTACCTACCAACTACGCCCACTTTGAGTGTCGTTTCACTCTGTGTGTTTGCAGCAAAACGTGTTATGAGTTCAGTGAGACAATTGTTTCCAAAGCAGGCTGCTCCTCTGGATCTGTCCAAAACATCATTCGAGGGATCTATACGTCTTCTCTTTGCTTGCTGATGGAGACAGAACCGGATATTTTATTTGACTTTGAGGTGCCACCCACCACAATTCTTTTTTTTTTTTTTTCAGAGCAGATGCTCCCACCATCATAACTATGCAACATACACAGTGGGAAACATTTTTTTTATATTGTTCACAAACACACATCAGTTCTGCTTGTCGCAGAGCCAAATATAAATGTGGTTTGTATGTTAGTCTTGGAGGTTATAACCAGTTAGAACAGCACAGCACAAGCTGATTAACCTTCTCAGTCCTCCATAATACACATTAAAAGATGAAATTAGCATCAGTAGCTTTTTCCCTTACAAATAAATTATAGACTATGCAAGAGTAATGCTGCTTAATCGTCACTTATGGGCTGCCATACATGTGTGGTGTTGATTGTGTCCTGTCTGTATTTTGTTGTTATCTTTTGGTTGACTGAATTTGGTGGGGAGCTAGTGTGTTCCCCCTAGCCAATGACAATGCGCAGGTGAGTTTGGGAGTGGATATGATTCAGACTGGCAGACATAGTGGTCAAGAGGAAACACAACCACAGTGAGAACTGTAAAGATAAAGCGTGTTCAAAACGAGGGTGCACCTTCGATTTACTTTCAATCACAGACACCGAGTTGGCCTGCCTGTCTTGGTGTTTGGCACCAAGCTAACCAGAGTGCTAAATTGCCGGTTTTCCAATACAACAGGCCTATTCTCAGGTTAGCTTGCAGTGTAGGTAAAAGCAGTAAACATACAAATGGAGTCCTGCTGTGGGCGTGTGCTTTTGGTGGCAATAAGCCCAGGAGGGGGCCAGTTTGAATGTTTGTTCACATGCTACACAGAATATTTCTACTGATTCTACTTTTAAATGTATTTTAAGAACTAAAGCATTCTTTTAATGGCATTACAATGCATTTAATTTGGATTACTTAAATTCTAATTATATTGCAAAAAGGCCAATGGAATTAAACACAGGTGATTTAATTTGGGTTTAGGGGTCTTTAGGTCAAAGCTTGTAGTAGTTAGGTTAAATGAATAGAACAGATGTCAGTAAAATGCACCTCCTACCACAGTTTTGTCCCGGATCAGTGTTGATGCTTTGAATGCAACAACTGGAAATTCTAGTTGTAAAGACTGTATCCATCTCTCCACATTTTCTTTTGGTACCAGATCTACAACACAAAATAAAGAGATTTCAGTCCACACAACTTTTTTTTTTTTTGCATTTAAACTAAAACCTGCTCATCACTGTGTGTACTTGACTTTAAATGAACATAGAAGTGTCTTGGGTCCATTTACCTATCTTGCTTAAAACAAAAAGCAGTTTCTTTTTGCCATCACTCTGCAGCACTGCCTCCTCCAGCTGTGGGCACCTGCAACCCATCGGATCCCGAGCATCAAGGACTTCTATCACTACATCTGATGCATTAATTACCTAGAAAAAAAGTAGAGGGAAGTCAGGGTGAAGGTAATCACTTAAGCCAAAGCTTTAAGTAAAATGACAGGGTTTTAGTAGTGTTACCTTGTTTAATTCAGAACAAAGATACTGTTTTGAGTTCTTATCCGGGCCAGCCTTTTTCTCTGTAAGCTGCCAAGCTTCATCCTGTGAAAACAAAATACATAAAAGTAAGTTGACAATAGAGAGATCTACATTTGAACACCTGATTTCAGTGCATGCTTTTTTACCTGTCGAGCCCTCTTAGCCTGAGGATCCGCATCTTTCTTTGCATCTTCCTTCTCCTTTTTCCTTTTCTGGGCTCGCTCCTCTATCTTAACTTGCCTTTTTTTCGCTTTTTCTTCTTCAATCTGTGACACAAAATCAACAATTGGTAAATATCAGCAAATATTCTAACATGATGGGAAACATACTGACAGTGTACTTGTGGTAGAAATAAATAACAGAAAATAAGGACACTTGTTCCTTAAGGTGAGCTTAATGCATACTAAATGGGACCAACAGAACATCCTGTTGATTAATTCAAGCTAAATATGGAATAAACACCATCATAAATCATCTTGATTTCTTTGAACAGTCAAATGTATCACTTCAAAAAAAAAAAAAAAATGGCCAGGGGAAATGTAATTAAAGATTGTCTCTGCAGTATGGGGCGCCGACCACATTTTGTTTTTTTTAAGAGCAGATGCTCCCACCATCATCACTATACAGCATACACATAGTGGGAAAACAATTTTTTATATTGTTCACAAACACACATCAGCTCTGCTTGTAGCAGAGCCAAATAAAATTGTGGTTTGTATGTTAGTCTTGGAGGTTATAACCAGTTAGAACAGCACAGCACAAGCTGATTAACCTTCTCAGTCCTCCATAATACAAATTAAAAGATGAAATTAACTTGATCATTTATGGGTAGCTATACACATGTGGTGTTGATTGTGCCTTTATTTTTACACCTGTTCCTTAAGATGATCTTAATGCATACTAAATGGGACCAACAGAACATCTTTTGATGTTAATTCAAGCTAAATATGGAATAAACTGCACTGATCTGGTCGCTTTGACTTTTTCAAATCCTCTCTTTCACCTTTGTGCAACAACAGAATCCTTACTGGAGATAAAACTATTAACCCTTGATTCGACAACCCTACTTGAGACATTGTAATAGATGCAGCCCAGATTCAATTTGTGTATTTATCCAAGGTAGTTGAGACACATTTGCATTGAAAGAGCGGACAGCCAACCTGTATCCTCCTCTGCTCTGCTTCTCTGAGGACCTCCTCTTTGAAGGGAGCACTGCTGGGCACTCCGGGATCCTTCTTCACTCGTTTGCTCACACCTTTCTTATTTGCCTCTTTTCTGAGTTTTCTGGTGTGCTCCCGGACCTAAATACAAATACAAAACTACATTTTTTAGTCAAATTTTAAGAAAATAAATGACACTAGGATGACATAAGAATAACGATGTCCGTCTGCAATCATGAACACAGGCCTCAGTTTTAGATTAGCAGGTTATGCTAACACACACTTACCTTCTTTTGTATTTTATACCGTTTGGAACATGACACTCGCTTACTTGCTTTTCTTAGCTCTGAAAACAAAAGGAAAAACACACAAAAAGAGACATTTTGTTTGTGTAACGTTGGTTA